ACAATTATTATTAACTTCCCATAGGGTAGGTAAGTTATAGTAATCGCAAAAAATCGAAAATGAAAATGTTTATATATCCTTAAGTTTCGAAGGTTTCTGAACATTTTGGCATACCTTATAATAGAAAAAATGGATGTATATATATATATATATATATTATATATATATATGTGTGTGTGTGTACACGAATACAAATTTTCGTCGACGATTTCGGGAACAACGATTAACTGATTTGAATAATTTAAAAAAATCTATTCATATTGATAAGGAGACGTCCTGATTAGTTTTTGGCAAAGACAGGTCTAGCCGTTCTGAAGAAATTGGCCAAAAACTGCCAAAACCGGTAACACAGTTTTTGAGAATGGATCATTCAATTTTAAATGATCATTAAACTTATGCACATACGTTCGATATTTTGTCTCTATGCAGCTAAAGCAGGGCGATTGCTTTGAAAAGTTTAAAATTTCTAAAATAAAAAAAACATTTTTCCAAAGGCTTTTTTTTTTCAAAAATTCAATTTTTTTCAAAAATCTAATTTTTTCAAAGTTTCAAGAATTTTTGATGCGGAAAGTTCCAGCAATTTGCCTTAAGGCACAACCCACTAGTTAATTCATATTTTCATCATAAGAAATCTACCCAATATTTCTTTCATACCAAACTAGCTATACTGTAGTTTGATGAAAGACACACTTAAATTGCATCACGTGCCGGACATTCATGAGCAGTTTGCAAAAGTTATGTCGACGGAACAAACAGACGATTTTAATTTGTAAGACAAAATTAATGAAAATGAAATTAATGAAATTGAGCTCGAATAATATAATGAGAATGTACGCTATAACAAAAACAATAGCACAATAATATACAATACTATACAAATTGAGTGGTTGACAAAATCATTAATTAGTAAGACCATAATAATGATAATAATGGATAGTACTGCCCAAAGAAAGGTCTGTGAACTGAGTTAAACTCCAACTCAGATTGAGGGTAGGAGTAGTGTGAGAGTTTTTCCCATTTCCATTCCTTGCATCATACTAAAACTTAATACCATTACTATTTATTTATAGAAACTTATAGCCTTCAAGTTAGTTCTTTCTTCATTATTTGAACCGCAATTAGAATTTTTCTCAGTATTGTATAAGGTGTTGTGATGTATTTTTTATTACCTAGCTTTATAAGAAGAAAACCCAATGATTGTGCTTTCTCTTCGTGATGAAATTTTTACATACTTCTAATAATGTCATATATTGCATAATACGCCGAATTGCTATTTTCACTAACAGAAATATTTAGATCAATATTTTTAAGTTTGAAGTTGTGTTAATATCACAACTGTTTGATATCAGGTTGCATTTAATGTGGGATTTGAATTGAAATCGAACGCCCATTATTTAAGGGTATATTATCGTCTATAGGCATGAATTTTATGCTATATTTTACTTATTAATGTTTTGAGAATATAAAAAAATATATATGAAAAATAGTTTTAGTTATAATGTGGGGCATACCCATGATTTAAGTCCTCCAAATAATCTGAAGAAAAAAAATTATTTTACAACTTCTTTTCATATTTTCGATCTTTTTAATAATAAATATTGGAATTCACGGGTGAACGTAGTTACTGAAGAGAAGTCTATAAGGGGTATAATCACATGAGGTTTTTAGGGAGAGGAGGTGTTTGACAAAAAATCTCAAAATATCACGTGGGGGGAGAGGGTAAAGTAAGATTTCACTCGTATTTATTTCTTACCTAATTTTTTTTAAAAGTTCCGAACATTTTCGAAAAAAATTTAAAATTTTTACAACTTTTTCACCACGTTTCATAGACAATGTGGAGGAGGGAAGGGTAAAAAAATCCTTAAAAAATCAATCACTTGATTAATGGACTCCCCATAAAGAAGGCCCTGAAAAATTTTCAGGTAAATCGGTACTGTAGAAGTTCAGAAATTATGGGTATCGTATGGGAAAAGACAGTTTCGAGAAAAATCAAAGGAGGACTATCATGGTCAAACAGTTATATCTCAGAAAATAATTTAAATTTTGAAAAATCCTCTTATACACATATTCTTGAATAGTTTAAAACTTTGAAAATAACAAATGGTTTGATGTTCTAGAATCTAGACTAAAATACTCCCTTAAGCTTTTTAAGCAGGTTCTGAGTTTTATTCTCGTTATTCGAGAAAAAACAAAAAAAAATTATTTCTTAAAAATTACAATTAATTATATAAAATAACTGAACTGTATATGTATAGTAATCCTCCTCGAGCATAGAGATCTCAGATCTTTTATAGGTAAAATTATGCTCTATCAGCAAGGTGGTTCGTGTAATTAGATGTAAGCGGGATGGATCCCGTAACTTTCTGTCTCCAAAAACATAAATTTTAATGAAGCCGGCAGTAATTGTGCAGTGAAGCGTAACATCAACATCAAACAAAGACAAAATACTTCGATCAACAGAAAATGATAAAAATGTATGTTTTATCTCATTAGATTGTCCTTGTGAACTAATAATATAAATAATAAATGGTGCATAGGCAATCATTTAAATAGATACCATGATTAAATATTTTAATAGATATTGTGAGAGTCTTCTTTCCAGAAATGCGTTTGTGGTACGTGACTGTTACAATGTACGCCAGTCTGGATACCAGTACGTCAAGTATTCCTGCCCGAGGTCATTAGATTAACGGGTCACTGTTCTTACGTAAAATTCACGCTTAGAACTACTTATTCCAAAAGACATACATGATGATCACGATAGTTGCGTGTATGTAAAATTTACTATAATTTATTAATATATATTTGGATCTAAAGGCTTGAAATGGCTTCGGTATAGTTCTCTTAAGGGAGTATTCTAGGCTACAAACGTGATTTTTATATGATTTTTGAAAGGCCATAAAAAGGGCAAACAATATTTTACTATCAGTTGTTTATAAGTTATCAATTAATGTTTCAAGATTACAGAGAAAAATTGAAAATTAAAAATAGTCATGAAGTTTCAACCCTTTTGCTGTGGGGTTGCTTTCCTCAGGAGTGTCACTGCTGTACGGGAACAGCGTGCCACTCTATTGCTCTACTGAACGAACAAGCACAACGATGTATTTTAAGATATTCTAATTGTATAATGTATTATATAGAACTTCAACAACTGTATAACTAAATTATAAATGATGTAAAACGAAAGTCAAAAATCAAATTAAGAAAAAAAATATTTCTATGACCAAAAAAATGTGTTCAATAAAAAATTTTGTTAAATTGGAAATTACGCTTCTAATGAACTTGAAATTACAATAAAATATTAGACATGTCAATACGTTAAGAGTTAAAATTGTTAACTCATAGTGATAAATCTTGAAGCAAAGGCAAACATAACATGTCGTCTCTGGACGACATCCGTAGCGTAGCGTAAGAGTTAATTCAAGCAGGTGATGAAGTGGGGTGTCTCAAAAAATTGGTACGTTACCATAACTCTGATTTTAGCCACTTACCTAAATAAATCCGATTAAAAATGATCATATATCTAAAATAATATCGTATTAGTATGAACTACGGCTAAGGATGGCGTCCTTACTAACTAGTTTTTTTCACAAAATAGCGACTGCCTGAAAAAGAATTATTTTCTTACAACTTTTTTGATATTTTTGCTTTTTGAGAAATAGTAAAAATTGGAATTCGGGAATAAACGAAATCCATACTGTTGAAAAGTCTAAAGAAGACTGTACAGATTTGAAGTGAATCGGTCCAGTAGAAGTTAAGATATCGTGGAAATCATATTGAATAAGACGGTTTCGAGAAAACCGCATTTAGTTTTGCGGAGAAAGAAAACAGAGGAGGATCCTGGTGGTCAAGCAGCTATATCTCCGAAAATAATTTAAGTTTTGCAAAATCGTTTTATACACATTTCCCTAAATAGTTCTAAATAGTTAAAATAAATCGTTATCCTAAAACATCTAGGCTAGAAGTACTTCCCTTAAGAAAAGCCATGAAAGTTATGCGTCATTACAATGACAATTTAGATTAAAGAATCATATTTTTTTCAATCACAATCTATTCTTATAATGAGGACATTCAGTAATTTTTTTGATTTGTAGTAGTTGTCCTCTCCGGTTGTGACAAAAATAACATACTTTATAGTATTTTTTGACTTTCTATGATTTTAAGTGCCCGCAAAAGGCGATTTTCACTGCAGATTATATCTGAAATCTATAACCTCAAATGAAAATTTGATATTATGCTACTTGATGTCAAACGTGGGTCAGGTTAACGGAAAATAATTATTAAAATTCAAATTTTCTCGATGCGATTTTAAGCTACCTATTACAACTAGCATCAAGGGACTTGAAAATAGTTGGACATTAGACAACTATAGCAAATATATAAATTATAAAAAGAGAATATTATAACCGATTATCGATTGTCTGGATTTTAAAAGTATTGTGCATTAGTAAATACCGCCCAAAGACTTCTTTTCTGTACTCTTAATTATTCTTGGCAAATTTAAACGAATACCATTTTAATTTTCATTTAATTTTAATATTATTGCTAGTTATTTGTAGTTGCGGATACGTAGAATGTCAATACTTATACCTTATACAAGATCAATAAAATTCATTAGAACTCTAATGTAGTATCAGGTATCTAGTATCTGGTATTACTATATTACTCACTGTGTTAATAAAAATAAATAATTCATTAATGATCTGCGCTAAGTGTATAGTGTATAAAAACCTAATGAAGAAAACATGAAATAGGAACTAAACTTAATTATAATCCCATCAAAAATCATTATTACATTCAAGAATGTCTTAATCATAAGTGATAGAAATTCCCAAGTACAGGACGTCACGAAACATTCATATTTAATATTTATCCAATTCAACAAAAAAACAAGCGATTATAGGAACTCATTGAATGATTCTCCATTCTTAATATAAAATCCCCTTATGAAATATCTCATACTCACTCATGCATTTCATCATTAACTGTATAAAATTTACCTATTGGACTTGAGGTTTTCTGGTAACAAAACGTTCCACCAGCTCAATCTACGTTTGTTAGGTTCGAAATAACGTTCATTCAATTCAACTTCATCCAAATTTTCAATCGATCTGTCAGGTGAGTGAGGTCTGGATCTTTCAGGTGTTCCAAAATCTGAGCCATTTGTTGCGCCTGTTCTGCGTTTTCGGACTTGCCAAGTACTTTTACTGCGTCTCGGTTCAACCTCGTCTTCATCTAATGCACCTTGAGACTATGGGTGAAGGCCACATTTCATTCCACTCATGTTACAATGTTATTTTATTGACCGAACTTATTGTTAGTAAATGTAAAAATTATTTTTATCTGTCGATTTTTAACGAAATTAAAAAAAATAATGAAATGAAATTTATACCAACTTTATACTTGTTTCACGAGTTAATAACAAACGGACAACTAGATTAACAATTAAAATTCAGTTAGGAGTACACCTAAGTCTGTTTTTACACGGTAGATTGGTTCTAGAAGAAGCCGTGTAAAAAAAAAACATGTAAAAAAAGGCATTGATCTTATACAAAAATGGGTGATTTGTTCCTAATCTCTAAAACCTATTAAAATTAGTGAAAAATAAGAATTTTTAAGAACAAAAATTCGTGTTTATTTTATTAAATCAAATATATAATGCTTATTTTCACAAGCAGTAATTAATGATAAAAAACATATGCACACTAATCTTAAAAGTAATATAAATTAAATGTATGGCAAGTTCAGGAACTAAAAAACCATGTTGTGAATGAAAAGAACAGGTTATTCAATTTTTGAGGTAAAAAATAAAATAAAATAGAATAAGTGATAATCATAAATACAACAACATAAATTTAATTGTTAATTTAAAAATTAAGTACATAAAATTTCAAATCGTGCTAAATGGAATAAAATCTTGTAAAAAAATTAAAAATATTCAATTTTCAAACCGTGTTATATCAAAACCGTGTAAAAACAGACTTAGGTGTATATTTTTATATTAATAACTTTTACAAAAATCATTTGTGGTTCATGTTAAAATTAAAATAAAAAAAATTAAAATTGTGATATAAATTAAATCAAATTTAATAATAATTAAAAATATTATTTGATATAGTAACTAATATTGCAAATAATATGTACTTAAATGAATAACAATCTTATGTTATTTAGTATTGTTAAAAATATACAAAATAAGAATAATATTTTTAGACAATCCACAAAAATAGGCTCGAACTTCTAATATAAAGGCACCATAATTAAATATTGTTGGTCAATTCTAAATTCGTCACAAGAATATTGCCAATTAGTATAAAAATTACATAATTTCTTAGACTGAAACTATTAATTAATTTTGAGAAAAAAATTTCTTTTTAATTTTATTTTCATTCTGCAATCTATAAAAATAATTACATTTAGCAGAGAATGCTGACAAGTTGTTTACAATTGATTGTCTACAAATTAATAGATACGCCCAGTGGCGTTAATATAAAAAAAAAAGACAAATATGGAGAAAAAAAATATAAATACTTTTCCTTTTGAAAAAAATGATTCAGTTTAATGTGAGAATATAAAACACGTATCAAAAAGTGAATAATAAAACGCTAGCAAATTATAAAACAAATATGATCTGTATCTATAAAAAAGTTAGACGTAGTGAATAAAGTGTTAATTAAATCTTCAATTACTTCATAATTTAACATCAGCAATATTAAATTAAAAACTTTACGGGCCTAACGACTTTGAATGTTATTCAACAAGTACATATTTGCATTGAAAAACTATTTCTATGTTAAATATTAATATTAAAATTTCAATATATATACTTCCGCTTTGTTAGGAAAAAAATAAGATTTTCGATCTTAATTTGAAAGAAATACAAGTTCGATTAACTTATTAAGCATATTTTTTCTTCTTCCTAACCTTGCTCAACTCCTTTTTCGATTTTGAGAAATGTACAGCCAGAGAAGATCTCCTGTTGGATTTAGCAACATTTTCTTTGGAATCGGAATTTAAAGCCAAGGAACTCCTACGTTCCTTGTTCAGATTTCCGAATAGAGCTAATGAGCTGCGTCTGTGCTCTTTTCTTTTCTCCTTATCTTTATCTTTATCTTTACTAGATGTCTTTATTCCTAATCCCAAAATATTATATGTCGAGTGTCTTCTTTTATCAGAAGGATCGACATCCTTTAATGCACTTTTCTTTCCAAAAATGCTTAATCTTTTAGTTCTTAATTTTTCAGAGTTATGAGAATCATTTAGGTCACTGTTGATTTTTTGGTTGATTTCATTAATACTGGCTAAAGATCTGCGACGCATAGAATCCTTTTCGGTATCATTTAGCAAATGAATGCCATTTGGAGATTCGTTAATGTACAAAGTAGCCATTGTTTTGGCTTTTAAATATCACTTATTGTTATATATCACTTATTACTTTATAATAACACTGGTAAAACATAGCATTATCAAAGTTTTTGGTTCACATTTTCCTAATAAAATATTAAAAAATTATAAAAATAATATTCATTCGAAATGGAAAATGATCTTAACACTAACGATCTGCAAGCTGGAGAATTTCAACTGATAATGACCCTTAGAGTATTCTGAAATCGTCTTCAAAATGTTTAATGCGGAATGCAGTGGCTTATCATACAAAAACATGCAATTATGAATTGAAGTAAACAAACACAGACGACAAGCAAACACGGAAAGATGGCAATTTTTATTAGTACATCACCATAAATTAAGAATGCATTATGACTCTGTTGTTGATTCTGCTGTTCTTTGCATCTTTCAATTGAGTAGAGTTACGATCAAACCACGTATGTAGAGAAAACAATATTTTTTCAGAAATACAATTTTCATTTTAACAATACGATTTATTGATAGAGAAACAAACTTTAATTGAATCTAATATAAGGTAGCCATATTTTTTGAGACGAAAACCGGAACGGCTAAATGACTTAAATATGATTAAAAATAACAAATATACTATATTTAACGACACAATGGTAATCAGTTTTTTACATGAATATTTTTTTTCAAATCAGAATTACTGACACTTAATAGAACTTTATCATTCGATTATATGTGAAATTTTTCAATTTAAACGTTTTTCGCTATTAAGCCTTGCATAGAGGGTATGGGCATGTTTCCATACAGAATCGGCTCCACCCTGGTATTTATAAATAATTTTGATGGCATTTCATAGGTCTTTTCGAAAAAAATACGACATACCAATTTTCAACTCCCGATCTCATTATTTGGTCAAGATATCAGTGAAAACATGTGAAAGTGGCCCCTTTTTTCAAACTCACTTTTTGTGGGAAATATATAAAATATCGAAAAAATATTAACTGATGATTCCATTCACATTGATCTTGTCTATATTGTTCATAACAAATAATGTGAATAAAATATTTGTTAGTTAAATTTTCTTCATAATTAACCCTTTCCACTCGCGAATTCCGAGATATATATATAAATATCGGCGGCATCCGAGTCGAAAGGGTTAATTAATTGTTAGTAAAAAGAAGCATTTCGAATCGTAATTGTTGCTAATTATTGAAAAATTGAAAATAAAAGTTCACAATTATTAATGTGAGATGATATTTTAACACTTTGGAATTTTGCATTCGGAAATTTTCGCATTCACAACGTATTGCTTCATATAAACAAACTCGTCGTTTTTGTAATTTACAGATATTTGATGGGTAGATGTAATTTTATTATTAAGGGGTTACATGCGTTTCACGATTTCAAGAAATCGAATTTTTTTATTATTTTATTAAATTATATTGTCCTAAATTTTCAAGTTGGTCCGACTAATAGTTTCGGAGATACAGCTTTGGAAAGGTGAACGCTCGAGGTCCACCCTTATTGTCTCTTAAAACGCGTTTTCTCAAAACTATGTTTTCAAAAACGGTTGTCAAGATTTCTCGCGAATTACTCAACCGATCTTGATGAAATGTTTCACAGATCTTCGAGAAATCATTTACAAGATCTTGAATGAACGATTTTTTTTAATTACAACTATTTAAAAAAAATGTCGAGAAATTTTCATCGAAATTAGCATTTTTTTTTTAAAACATCTGCCAAAAATCCAACTTCCATTTATTTTCTTCTCTTTCGTCCAATACATAGTTTATTGTCTTTACTAAAACGCGTATTTTTTATTTTTATTTCGGATGATCCTGAAAGAAGTTTTGCTGACAACGCGGAGGCATTTTTTTTCCGAGGGACTGCAGGAAATGGCGTCGTAATGATATTTTTTTTTGAAAATTTTGCAAAATGTTTACTAAATATGTATCTTTTAGATAAAAAAAGATTTCATTTTTTATATGTAAAAAAATTATTGAAAAAAGATCGTCTTTTGCCCCAGGAAACCCATGTAACCCCTTTTAAGTAATTGCGAAAATTTAATTTAAAGCTATACTTTTGAAAAGAAAAAACGAGACAACCCGGAAAAAGGGTCAAAATTCGAGACAAATATTGCAGTTAGGAAAACCCAGAACACAAGGTGGTAACCCGGATCTTATCTAATATGGTTAACCAAAATTGATCAATGCACTTTCTTTACCAAAACCCAAAAATATACCCAAAGCAAAATACAGTACACATCGTCACTACAATTCTGTAAAAATTTTAAATAAACTTCAACGACTTTTTATTACCATATTATTGCCATTAGCTTTACAAATTACAAACTAACGTTTTGTTTATATAATTGATCGAGATTTAACAAAAAATATTAATTACATAAATATTTAATTCATTAAATATTTTATGATTCAAAGAGAATGCAAAAGATAAATTTTAACATATACCAGAATTTACAAATATATCTTGCAAAAGATTTACCAATACATTAAATTAACCCTTCGTCGGGCGCAGCCGATCTGACAGATACAGAGCCAATAATTTTTCATGCTGCGCCTTGGTTGAATGTTATAGAAACCTCCACTCTTCAATAGCCTCCTAATTTTATATGTTTTAGTCATGCGTCTTTATCATTTTGTGTTTGACCTTCACATATAGTGGCAATCGGTATTTTGATCCTAGAGATACACTGCGCCCGAACGTGCAACGTTTTGATACGTACGAATATTGCAATTTTTTGTGCATGTAAGTATTCTTTTTCTGTATTTTTTACGTATTTTTGAATATATATCTTAATACTTTTCATTTAATTGAAATTTTTTGAAAGTATCTACGAGATTCACTGCGCCCGAATGTGTTACTAACTTGAGTCCATACATTTTATAGGCTAGTAAATATGGTGAGTGGTAAAAAAATATATAATTTAGAAAAACCAGCTCATGCAGAAGAGATTCTAAGAATGCTGAATGATGATGCTAATGAAAATAATCTTCTTGACGGTTTAGGCGATGAAAGTGGAAGTGACGAAGACCATCTAGAGAGTCGCAAAGTCGATTCTGAGACAGAACAAGAGGACGAACAGGATGAAAGTGAGGAACAAATAAATTTGAACAATAATGCTAAATATTTTATGAGTAGAGATAAATCTACAAAGTGGTGTAGCAAACCTCCCTCTAATAGGATTCGAACAAAATCCCAGAACTAATTAAGACATTTACCAGGTGTTATAGGAAACGCAAAAAATGCTGCAACGCCTATAGAATGTTGGAGTCATGGTAAGAAAGATCTCCGAAGAAGATATTTTTTGAGACAATTATCGCATGAACTTCTAGAAGTGAAATCACGAGTGGGATTCCGTTCACTTTGCAGGCAGGACTCAAAAGATTCAGACCAAATTCACAGGAAAATGGTTCACAATAACAAGAAGAGCCACAAAAAAACGGCGATGTGAACCGTGTACATTAGAAGCTAATATTAGACGGTTTTCAAGATTTTGTTGTGCTAATTGTCGAAAAGCACTGTGTTTACAACATGCAGTTTTCTATGCAGTGCTTGTTCAAATGCTTGTGTAAATCATGATATTTAACTATACACATTAAACTATCATTATTATATTACTTATTTTTAATAAAGTGACAAATGAAAAAAAAGTTAGAGACTGTGTATTTCAATAAAGAAAAGTGAATGTAAATAATTTGTGCATATATACACAGGTTTATATTTTTCTACATTTTATAATAAAATATTATTGAATTCTTTTTTTCTTTATTTATTCAAAAAGTATACATTCTGAAATATAATTAAACAAAAAATAAACATGTTTATAAAATAAGGAGCCTCCTGAAGATATACTTAAAAACCGTTGCTGTCGGATACACTGCGCCCGAACGTGTGCGTAACGGGACTGCGCCCGACGGAGGGTTAATAAAATATTGCAGATTTACCAATAAATCTTTTTATAATGTACTTAATTTGAAAGATTATTATAGTAAGTAATATTATAGATATAACATTATATTACGTTATATATATTTCATGATTTTCCTTATCCAATTGCTTAACAATTTTATGTAATAATAATACCTTATTAACGAAATATGAATGAATTTCGAACCCTGGCCGCGTACAGCAGGTGACGTAAATATTAAAGAAAATACAACAAATAATTAAATTTCGAGCGGCTTAATTTGCATATTGTATTAGGATAATTTGTAATAAATTTACGATGTCTTTTACAGTTAGCAGAATAGAAGTAAATATTGACAGTGAAATTAAACACCGTTTAAACTTCAATTGAGAACATTTGCGGCACCTTAGGTGTTAATATATTTTTCACATACAGTAAAAACCAGTTCCGTGAAACATTAGTAATAAAAATTGATATTTGTAAGTTTAATTTTATGGATCAGCAAAATAATATATTTAAGGGGTTATTCTACTCTAGATATGAAATTTATGCGATTTCTTAACAACAAAAAGGCAAATACTATTTTTACTTTATTCTTTTACAAGGTACTAACAATTAAAGTTTTGCAAATATAAAAAAAATAATAGTCGAAAAGTTCTAATTCTAGAAGGCAATTTAGAAGAAGGTCCCAAAATATTGGCACCTGACCATACCCATGATTTTAGCCCTCCAAATAATCTGAAGAAAAAAATAGATAAATATTATTAATCGATGATAATGTCGCAAAAGTATGAACTACGAACATGATGAATTATTGTTTTTCAGAAAATAACGACTCTCTGAAAAAAAAATCATAACTATTTAACAACTATTTTTTAAAAAGTGTATAGTTCATTCTGAAAAGTAGTCTAGAAGAAATATTCTGTAAAACATTCAACTAAATCGGTCCAGTTGAGAAATCGTGGTTATCGAAAAGGAGAGTTTCTAGAAACACTTGTTTAATGTTTCGCAGAGAAAGGAAATGGAAAATGATTATTACGCCAAAAAACTATATCTCCACAAACAATTTGAATTTTTTAAAGTCCTTTCGTAACAAATTCTTGAATAGTTACTCTTCGAGAAAAAGATTGTTTAAAAATTCTAAAGTAAAATACCCCCTCAACGATATTATTTCTAAAGTAAGTTGCTTTTTAACTATACGAG